GGGATCCGGAAGCCCCTAAAAGCGCCTTGGGAGGAGAGCTGCTGGTCCCGCCGGCCATTCCTTCTGCAAGACCAGAGCCTGCTTCCTGCCAGGGAACGTTTCTGAGGACTGGAACCTCCTTCTCTCGGCCTTTACTCTCTCTGTTGAGCAGACTCAGGTCGTGCAGATGTCTCCTGGCTGTGGCTCCTGTTTGGACTCCCTGGCAATTTCACTGGGGCCCCGGCAGGGATTCGTTATTGCCAGAGTTTGGACAATTATTATTATCCCCCGCCGCCCCCCCTCCGTTTTCCCTTCCTTCCTCCCTCCCTCCTCCTCCTCCTCGCCCTCGTCGTCGTTTAGGTCCGCCGCTCGGCCACGCCCCTCCAGCGGGCGCCCATTGGGCTGGCCAAGGCGGAAGCGCTCGCGCCATTGGCTTCTGTGGACGCCGCTCCCAGGACCAGCGCCCGCCTCCCTCCCTCTCCCGGAGGAGAAGGGAAAGCCGAGCGCAAAGCACCCGGATGAGGAGACGAGAGAAAACGGAGGGGGACTTCCGCTGGGGCATCATGGGAAATGTGGTTCTTTTTCTTTCTCTCGCCACCATCCTTTCTGCCTTAAGTCTTTTCCTTGTCCTCTTCGGAGGCGCTGATTGGCTAACTGTTTTTTTTGAGAGATGGGGGATTAAAAGGGACTCACTGTACTTGCAAAGGCAGTTATAAATGAATAATAAAATAAATAAAAACAACAGCCAGGGCAAAAAAAATCAATGTTATTAATCCTTCTTCTAAAAGAAATTAACTACAGTATATTATAATAAACAATATCCAACAATAAGAATAAAGAAACAAGTTGGAGGCAAGAGGAGAAGAGGACTTCAGAGGACAAGATGGTTGGACAGCGTCATCATGGAAGCAACTCGCCCGAATTTGACCCAACTCTGGGAGGCAGTGGAAGACAGGAGGGCCTGGCATGCTCTGGTCCATGGGGTCACGAAGAGTCGGACACAACTTAACAACTAAACAAGAACAAAAGAAACCAAAACAAAAAAAGTTAACTAACAAAAGAACTCAACGGGAAAGAAAAATGTAAAAATACACAATGCTGGCTCCATCCAATGAGTTATTAATATTTAATATTTGAATTTAATTTCCACCCCGCACCCACCGCTTCTCCTCACCAGTCGCTTTGAGGGGTGTTGGTGTTGGTGGAGGCGCTGGTGGTGATGATGGCTTTCCTCAGAGCCCTGGCAGGCTCCACCTCCCCCACTCACCCTCAGCGGCCGCTTCCGAGAGAAGAGTTTCAATTCCCCTTATCTATTTATATTATAGCTCTAGGATAAAAACTATTTAGAAAACGTGTGGTCCGAGTCTTAATTGTTCTATATCTTCTGCCAGACGGTAACAGTTCAAAAAAGTTATAAGCAGGATGGGAAGAGTCTCTCAGGATGCTATGTGATTTCCTTAGACAGCGGGATGTGAAGATGTCATCCAGGGTTGTAGCTGGAGCCCGATGATATTCTGGGCAATTTTAATGGTTCTCTGTAGAGCTTTTTTGTCCGCTACAGAGCTACTCCCAAACCATGCCAGAATGCCATAAGTTAGGACACTCTCAATGGTGCTACGGTAGTAGGACAGAAGTAAATGCTGTGATAAATTTAACTTCCCGAGCATTCTCAGGAAATACAGCCTCTTCTGTGCCTTCTTTATTAGCATGTTGGCATTTATAGTCCATGAGAGGTCCTCTGAGATGTAAGTACCCAGAAATTTAAAACTACCAACTCTCTCCACTTCCTCACCGTTTATGTACAGTGGTAAATGTACATTTCTCTTCCTCCTAAAATCAATTATGAGTTCTTTAGTTTTTTTGATGTTAAGTGTGAGATGATTTTCTTTACACCATAGTATCAGTCTTTGTACTTCCTTTCTATAAGCAGACTCATTGTTCTTATTTATGAGTCCCACCACTGTCGTATCATCCGCAAATTTAATAATTGCATTGGTGTTATATAGTGGGGTGCAATCATGTGTGTACAGGGAATAGAGGAAGGGACTTAGCACGCAGCCCTGGGGCGCTCCTGTACTTAGTACCAGGGTAGAAGAATGGTGGGATCCCATCCTTACTGACTGTGGCCTATCTGTCAGAAAATCCTTTATCCACACACAGATCTTCTGAGGTAATCCCAGGTTGATCATTTTTAAAAACAACCTATTTGGTAGAATGGTGTTAAAAGCAGAGCTATAATCCACAAACAACAGCCTCGCATAAGTTCCCTGTTGTTCTAAGTGGCTCAATACAGTATGGAGTACGATGGACACAGCATCATCAGTAGATCTATTTCTCCTGTATGCAAATTGCCATGGATCTAAAGAAGGTGGAAGACTAGCCTTAATGTAATCCAGCACCAATCTCTCAAAACATTTCATAATAACAGATGTTAAAGCTACTGGTCTATAATCATTGGGAGATACCACAGCTGACTGCTTCGGGACTGGCACTATAATAGATGTCTTCAGGCAAGTGGGGACTGAACACTGCAACAAGGATAGATTGAAAATATCCGTAAACACTCCAGCTAATTCTGCAGCACAGCCCCTAATAACTCGTCCCATGATTCCATCTGGTCCAGCTGCCTTTCGAATATTAATATTCTGGAAAGCGTGTCTCACATCTGAAATCTGCAGTACTAGTGGTTGTCTGTCGATGGTAGATTCTAGTGATGTATTATGGACAGTAGGTGCTGGAATAATGGTTGTTCCTGTTTCCTCCTCAAAACGGCTGAAAAATTGATTTAACTGCTCAGCCAAAAAATCACTGCTGCTACACAGACTGTTTTTGTTACTCTGCCCCGTGATTTGTCGTAGGCTGTGCCATACTTGACGAGTGTCAGAACTTTCAAGGTGTTGTTCAATTCTCTGGCTGTACATAGCTTTGGCATCCCTAATGCCCCTTTTCAGTTTAGCTCTGGCCTCTCTATACTGTAGTTCATCACCAGAATGAAAAGCAGCATTTCTGGCTTTTAATAAAAGGCGCACTTCTCTATTTAGCCAAGGCTTGTTGTTAGAAAACACTCGTACTTGTCTTGTGGTAGTAATAACATCGATGCAGCTTTTGATATAAAACAGTACTGTCGAGGCATAAGTATCAACATTGTCCTCCTCAAACAGTGTCCAATCAGTGCTACTAAAGCAATCTTGAAGTTGCTCAGTTGCATCCACTGGCCACACTTGTATTTCTCTAATTGATGGTCTGATTCTTTTAACAAGGGGTCTGTACGATGGAATCAAAAAATTTTACTGCTTTAAAGATTTAATTGTTGTGTTTTTAGTGACGTTAAGCTGGGGGTAATGATATTTTAGGTAAATAGAATAATCATCTCTGAATGGTGTGGGAGTTTTTAAAGTAAACTCCACTGATCTCCTCCAATAATAGGATCCTGGCCTAAGAGACCTGGACTATATAAAAGCCTGAAAGGGTTTTTTTGGGGGGGGGAAGGGGGGAATAAGAATGCTCACAGTGATTACACTCTTTATGAAAATGGATCTCTTTCCACCTAAAAATATTGACTCCCTCCCTGCTCTGTTTTAAACAAATGGTGTTATTTGCTTTGATGGCATGGGTTTTTTTAAAAAAAGAAAAGGCAAACTGTATGTCATCATCCATGTGAGCAATACTAAAGCATTATATGTGTAATAAAAGAAACAGGACAACAGATTTGCTGGGACACAGGCAAGCTTTTTAATAACCACATCTCTAATTCCTTTTATAAAAGAAACATGGGTGACGGTTCGTTCATCTTCATGCAAGGAGGGTTAGTTAATTGATTATGCTTGAGGTGTGGATCCCAGTCCTTCTAGGCAGAAAAGAGCGACCGCAGCCAGCACCCAACCAAGGGAAGGCTCCAAGGATTCGGACTGGAGGAAGGATTCATCACCACCTTCTAGCCAAGGTGCAAGCAGCCTTGCCTCCTCCTCCGTGCTTCAGTGGGTGAGGGATATTCTGCCTTTCTGCATCCGGCGCAGGATCACGTCAATCCCACTGCGCGATCGGATCCGTTTGATCCACCCGTGCTTGTGTTTCCGCTTGATATTCGAGGGCTGGTACTCATTGCCGCGGGCTCTAGACCGGATCTGCTGGCGACTCCATGGCATAAGCAGCCCGGGGAAGCCAACTGGCAGCTCCGGGGCCTGGCAGGGGTCAAGAGGCCGCCTCCAGGCTGGGGAGAAAAGGGTTCCGATCCCACGCTGGTGGAAGATGGCGGCCAAAGCTCGCTGCATCAGGAACAGAGACCTGAAGAGGAAGAGATGGCAGGAAAAAAAACAAAGAATTACACTCATCAAGTCGTATATAAAGCGAGCTTTCAAATTAAACTTCTTTCAGTGCGAGATTTCCTAGATTACAATCCACCTCCTCAGACATAGGAAGGCCTACATGAATGGGATGAACGTCCTCCCCAGAGAGACGAGAAGGAGCACAGCATCATAGAACCAGCTTCTTGAATGCACTTTGTGCACGCCCAGAGGCAAGCCTTCCAGCAATCACTCGTAATTGAAAAAGATATTTTATGTGCAATGCCAGCGCGTCCAGTTGACCAGAGGCACTCTGTGCATGCTCAGGGGGTTATCAGCCCACCCAGGCACTCTGTCTATGATCAGAGGTTATGACAGCCCACCCAGGGCACTCTGTGCATGCTCAAACGGCCTTTTTCTTACCAGCCTCCTCCTCCGACCCTAGCCAAGGCTCTCAAGCTCCGCTCTTTCTACAGGCCAAGTACAGGCCCGCCTATTGGGCTGCTCCAGGAGAGCCAATCCAAGACAAGGTCAGAGCGGAAGGGGCGGGCGTCCCTGGCCGCTCTACTCTCTGGGTAGCGTAGTTTTTTTCCGCCCACCGCCGCACTTTCCGCGCCCACCGGTTCCCTCGGCGGGCGGCGAAGAGGAAATGGCGTCACTCCACAAGAACCTTCTCGGACCCGCCCCCTCTTTTTGAATATCCCCACCCCCAGCCACCGGCCTCTGGCCAATGAGGCGCCTGCTCAAGTTTCCCCCTCCCGTACTCTCAGGGAGGAAGCGGGGGGGGAGGGAAAAGGGGCACGTTACCCAGAATCCCTCGCACGCCGCAGCGACGTAGAAGTAGGCCTGTTATTGGCGTAAGAGGGAGCCTTCCGCGCCCGTGGTCTACAAAGCAAGCTCATTTCTACCCATCTCGCTGCCCACGGGCCTCGTTGCGACAGGAGAGCGCGCGGCCCGCATTCCCTGAGGTTATGTAAGGCAAGGGTAGGAAGTAGGCTTTGCTCGGGCTTTCTGCGGGCGGGAACTCCGCTTCCCAGCATGCCCTGCAGCCAAGGCGCCTGCGCAGTGCTCGCCCGAGGCAGCCCAGGGGTTGCCGGCGGACCTTGGCTTCGGAACTGACCGAATGTTGGAGGCGCAAAGACATTAAAAGTGTCTTAATGTCTTTGCGCCTCTAACATACGCACACGCTATTCTTATCTAGTAATCTACAACTTGTATAATAATATGGCGTGATATACAGAAGTGCAATTTCTCAATATAATGCGAAAATATAGTATAGTCATCATATACTATACATTTAATGTATTGTATAATATTTACTATAGTTATTTATTATATTATTAGATTAGACTACTGTAATGCACTCTACGTGGGGCTGCCTTTGAAGCTGATGCGGAAACTTCAGGTGGTGCAGAATGCGGTGGCTAGACTCCTTACTGGAGTGAGAAAATACCAACATATCTCTCCTACTCTGGCCATGCTGCACTGGCTGCCCATCTGTTTCCGCATTGACTTCAAAGTGTTAATGCTTACATATAAGGCCGTAAACAGTTTAGGACCCTGATACTTGGCGGAACGCCTGCTGCCACCTAGATCTACTCGGATCACCCGCACGAGCCAGGAGGTGAGGCTGAGGAGCCTAACGACGAGGGAGGCCCGGAAGGAAAGGACACGAAACCGGGC